CCCGCCGCCCGCGGCCTCGGCGGGACGATGCTGGAGTCCATTCGCGTGACGGGTGAGTGCCGAGAAGGGCTGGCACCTGGGGTGGCAGGGGCGGCTAGCGTCCTCCCGGCTGTTTGCTTCGAGTATGGGGAGGGTCCGCCCGGAGGCCGAGGTAAATGTGGGATGTGGGCTCCGGTAACCAAACCGAAGCCGGGAACAGTGCGGAGCGCGCTGGAGGTGCACCGGGGAAATGTGCGCAGGGAAGAGAGAAAAACGGTCCTTTTTCCTTTTGTCACTTATTATCAGTAAGCACGTGCTGTGAACTGTAGTCAGGTCAACTATAATAGCTTACTGGCCCTACAAATGTACAGTCTAAATATTGTTAAATTCTGTTTGAAAGCGTATTAGGTATGTAATTGGGTATTATAGTGCACCAGGATCTAATTTTCTAGAATGCTCAGAAAAATCAGAGCTAAGCAAAAGAGCACATCTCTGTATATCAGCATTTATACTGTTTCTTTGTATGTGTGCTTTTATTGTTAAGTCAGAACGTTCTGAGTTGATACTAAGAAGTTACTCTATAGTATGTATTTATTATACCAAACGCAAAAAATGGATGTTTAGACCCCAGGTCAGAAAGTTTACTTGCGTTTTGTTATTTAAAAAAAAACTGTTGACTATTAACTATTTAAAAATTATCTTGTATAATATTGGAATAATTTCCTAGGGCATTTTCCCGTCATTTGATTCTAACATTACTACGAGACAGGGTTTGTGATAGTCTAGCATCATGACTAAAAACAACGAAAAACAACAGAGTAAAGGGAAATGTTTCATCTAGAAATAAGGCCAGGTTTTTTTACTTTAAGGCATTGCAGTACCTAATAGACCTTTTTCTGCAAAATTTTTAATTTTGTAACGAAATTAATTTTTAATGAATATATTTATGGTCTGAATTTTATACTATGTTATTTCATGTTCCATGTTAGAAAATAGGGAGCTGATTTTGTGCGGTCATAACTGCTGTAATTCATCTCATTGTTATTTATGTTGACAGGAAGCATGGACGATTACAAGATCTAAGATTTAAGAGAGAACTTAAATTGGCATTAGATTTTTTTTAAAGTAATTTTATGTAGATGCTATTCTCTCATCTTAAAATACAATGAAAATATTGAAAGTTACTTAAAAATACTATATCTTCTTTTTGTCTTGGAGCAGGGTCTCTCAACTGGTGCACTGTTAATATGTAGATAGTAAACCCTCTCGTCCCACCCCACACAGAATTTTAACAACCAAAAATGTCTCCAGATATTGTCAAATGTCTCCTGGAGAGCAGAATTACCACGCCTCCTCCCTCATTTGAGAACAACTGCCTTGATGAAAAACATACTAAATTCTGTCAAAGTGAAGGTTATTAAATAATGATTCAGAAGTAACGTGGATTAAGATGATTTTTCCAAAGCATGGCAATCATTATAGAGAAAGAATAATATTAGTTTTAGATAATATTAGATAATAAAGATGATTATTAGTTTTAGAAAGAGGGTGTTGTGACCAGTCAGTCCGCAATATGAAGTGGATCTCCTGATTTTCAGTACGCAGAGTTGGAAGTGTCAGGAGAGAGACTTTATAATAGACTCACTCCTCTTGCCTCAACTCCCTTTCTATAGTTGATTGACAATACACTTATCAGTCCAGCTTTGCATGTTGCATATCCTGAGATAGATAATTAGGCAGCGAATTTCTATAGCTTAGTAAAAATTCAAATAGCCGTTTGAGACAATTCAAGCCTCAAACATAAAACAGCTGACTGATTATTTTTCAAAATCGTTTCTCCATTTCTTTTATATGGTTCTTGACTAGTTAAAATGATAATTCTAGAACCCCACGCCCAGCATTTCGCTGACATATCAGAAAGCCCAGTTTCGACTGCTAGAAACTATGAAGAGAGTTTAGCCGAAAGCATGGCCCCTTTCCCCCTCACTTCCCCACACTATTCATTGATTTCTAAGAAGTCCATGCTCTTCTGGTTAGCATTAAGAGCTTGATTGTTGGTGAGAGTACTGATGGAAATGTGTTCATTTCCTTTCAGCTCTAAAATAGCTATAAATATAGAGCAAACTGGTTGTTTTTTATTTCAGGACTAAAGCAGTTACTTGTTTCTGAAATCACTTCCTATGTACCTGCCTATCTTACCCACTTTTGACTTACTCGTCATGTTTTAATAGGATCTAAGTATAACATCCTGGTGGAACTGCTGATTGGAGAAGTAAACTAAAGATGTGTATGCTATGTATACTGTGCGAAATGGAATCAAATCACAGATTTCTTTGCCACCACATAGCTTTTAAAAGAAGATAGTTTATTATACTAAAGCTACTAAAATGTTGATTCTAGAACGTAGAATTTATTAATGTTAAATTTACCTCAGGAATCCAAATTTTATGATCCTAAATATTTTTCCACTTACATTATTCCTTGGAGTATTTCTCTGGGAGCCGAATATAATAACAATGCTGATAAATAACACGTGCTGCTTAGTGCAGGCCAGCACTGTTCTCAGCACTTCACATATATTAACTTTTTTGATCCTCACACCAATACTGTGAGGTCTGTAGTGTTATTATCCCTTTTTACAGATAAGGAAACTGCAGCACAAAGATGGTAAATAACTTGGTCAAGGTCACAGATGCTAATAAATAGCCAAGATTCAAACCGGAGAAGCTCCATTCCAGAGCCCATTATCTCAAACAGTAGGAAAGTCAGAAGGCTGTTCCAATGACTACGTGCTGATTTAAGCTGCAAAATTCAACATGAAGATCTCATTTAATATCAGTGGTACATTAGCTGGTAGTTTACTCCAGGTGTTGTTTTTAAGTTTTTATCACAGGTAAATCTGTAGTAATTTTTACCTGGAAAGATCACATTTTACTTGACTATAAAATTGTTTTCAGGATAGGAAAGAAGACATCTAGCTCATTCAGTGAGTAACCAAATGCTGTCAGAAGCCATTTAATATAAGACTATGTTAATGTATGAATTCCTGCTGCCCATATTTTGTATGTGATACAAGAAGTGATTAATGAATCATCTGGAAATGAAGCTCCTTTGTAACAAAAGTGAATGTTTAAAAATACTGGGGACAAAAGTCTTGACAGCAGTGTTTGGCCACCGGGGATGAATACACTTAGGCACACAGCTCCTGTTTGTCCTGCAGCAGTAACACCTGCCATTAAAACTCATCCTCAACATCACTGATTGTTTCATTTTAAAAAATGAATGCGTCTGGTATGATATTTTCCTCCACCTTCAGGCATTCAAATCCTATATCCTTTCTCTTCTCTCAAATATTTTCTTTCGTTGGCCACCTCTCAGGGCATTAAGTAAGCAAAACCAAATATAGATGTATGCCATAATGGGACTTATAATTTCAGTGATGGGGAAGGCCATCAAATAAACAAATACAGGACTGCAGCCATGACAAGTGAGTCAAAGAACCTTCCAGGGAAGATTTCCTGAACAAGTGATATTTGAACTGAAGGATGAATAGCAAATAATATAACAGAGAGAGGAAGAAAGGGCTCTCCAAACATAGGGAGCAGAATGCGAAGAGGTGTTGTGTCTGGAGAGAGAGTGGTGAGTGTGAGGGATTGACAAAATGAAAGGAGGCTAGAAGGGGCTGCCTGAGGAGGAACACTGTGCACGATGAGGCCAGGGAGGCAGAGTGACCTGACCACGAGTGACTTCATGTGCCATGATGAGGAGTTTTGTCTTCCTGGGGAAGTTTGTCTTCACTCATATTCACTATTGTTTTAGGTGGTGTTTAATGCTGTTTCTTTTATCACAACCATCATTTTCTGGCATTATAGAATACCCTGAATGTTTCCGAATGCAGACAAACAAACAAAAAGACACACACACACACAGCAGATTTTGACCAAAAACCCCCAATAGTGTCACATTATAAGAATCCTTGCTAATAGAGTAATATTAAAGTGCTCCTAACTGGGACTGTGACGTTTTTAAGAATCCTCAGTACAGTTGAGTTTCTCAGTTCTTGAATGATACTAGCCTTTTGATCTCTCTCTTTTCACTTACAGTTGAGAAACTGTATTGGATAATGTTGAATTTAGAGATATTGTAATTAATAGACTATCTGTTATAATGCAGACAACTTGGGCAATGAATATGCTTTTAAGGATACTGACTTTTTATATACCTTTTCAGAAATTCTGGTGTAACTTGTATTCAGTAAAGTGTGTAAGTCTTAAATGTGCAGCCTGATGAATCTGTACCTATGTAACCACTGCCCAGAACAAGATAGAGAGCATTGCTAGCCCCAGTACCCTGGTACCTCCTCCCAGGTTATAACTCCTTACTCAAAGGTAACCACTGTCCTGCCTTCTAATTCCATACCTTAGTTTTGCCTGTTTTTGAACTACATATAAATGGAATTATACAGTATGTACTCTCTTGATCTGGCCTTGTTTGCTCAGTATTGTCTGTGACATTCATCTATATTGTTGCTTGCAATCTCAACTTGTTCTTTTTCATTACAATATAGTATTCAGTTGTATGAATATAACACAATTTATTCATCCTTTCTGCTGTTGACAGATATATGAGTTTTTTTAACATTTTTTATTGATTTATAATCATTTTACAATGTTGTGTCAAATTCCAGTGTTCAGCACAATTTTTCAGTCATTCATGGACATATACACACTCATTGTCACATTTTTTCTCTGTGATTTATCATAACATTTTGTG